CGCCTAGATATATCATTCGCCTGCCGGTGGCGACGCCACGGCTTGGCAAAGAAACACTTTACAAGCAGCTCTGATGTGTTGACATCTCATCAATCTGCCTTCCCGAGGTCACCCTTCTGCATGAGTAGCCTTCTTATGCTCAGCGTCATGATCTCCCTGTCGTATTTTGGTTTTGTTATTTGTTGTGTAGTGTAGTTATTTTCGGAATGGGACTAACATCATCTTTCCAGGCTGCCGATCCCATGGGCCTGGTCACCGATGTAGCAGGCGGCAGTGGCGAAGGTGAGCAGGATGACAAGCCAGTGAAAGAAGGCGAGAATAGTTTCTCTACAACACCAGCTGGCACTGGCTGCAATCCATTTGATGAGGGCGCTACGACTATGCCGCGTGGTGGCGAAGGCGACATCGGGGACAGCACTGGCATCCCGCTAACTGAACAACAAGGAAAGGGAGATAATGAGGGTACGCGTACGCCCGCGAAGGGAGACGGCACCAAGCTTAAGGGATGGATGCTAGTTGACATCTCTGCGCTCTGTATCCTCATCTTTGCGTCTTCCTCAGTTAGGGCTAGGAAGCCACAATGATGCGAGAAGGTAGAGATGCCAACTTTAAAACTCATCTAATAGTCAGTCGCCGACCAAGCAGCCTGTCTTCACTCCGAATAGGGGAAAGGGCCGCCGTCAGAGCAAGATGGGGGACCGTGATTTGCAAGAGGACTCCCAGCACACTTTCGCCTCGGTATTGGCTAGTCATGTTGATCTTGGAGCAACAGCAACGCCAATGGCTTACGTTTCTCAAACAGGTTGAAGAAATTTGCTAGTTGGAGATAGGCTAGAAGAGGAGGGCGAGCTATTCTGTTGTATTTGTTGTTTCGTCCCTTAGTGATACATATTAATGTTCTCCTTCTCCTCTTCAGATTGACGCCGCCTCGCAGGAGGCGAGCGAGCCGGAGCCTTTGAACATTCCGCAATTCATGGGCCTTTTCACGTCCTACATGAAAACGGGTCACTACATGTTATGGCTGTTGATGCAAAGAAGGTCGCACTTATTCGGAGGAATTTCTCCAAGTAATTTGCCGCTTAATTTGAAGGCAAATTTGTTGCCTGACACTGTTGATGACGGACTAATATTTCACCGCTGGGAGTGGGACTTGTTGCATTAGCGGAGATTGATATCTGGATCGAGTTACTCATCGTTTAATCCCCTCTTCTTATTCCCCTCATTCTTTCATGTGCCACCGCGGAGGCCAATCTGCGCACCATGTCCGGGTCGATGACTGATGTGGAGAAGCGTATCATCATCCCACTCCTTGCAGGCAGCAGCTTGGACCTGCCGGCACCCCTCTCGGAGCTGTCTTTCTTAGTTCCCCTTTTCAGCGACCTCATCAAGAACATGACGAAAGAAAAACACAGCCTCGGGATGCAGGTCGTGATCGCGTTGCTGCAGGCTAACGGCAAGGAATATTATTAAGGCATGACGAGGCGTCCCAACTCTACAACAGAGTACAGACATGCGCTCAATTTCTAGGAGGTGCGTAGTGTATAGTTTGAAGCTATTGATTAGCCCAGCAGCAGCACTTGACACAGGGGACAGCAACAAGTGCCCTAGCTCTAACTTCCCAACGTGATCAAGAAAGGCGTTCAAGCCTCCAAGGTGCAGATGATCGTGGGGAGCCCGCTGTACTTAAGAGAGATCGCTGCTCATTATTCAACCTGGGTGGCCCGTGTGATGTGTGTCTTCTCACTTGGGAACAGATAGGGGGAGGCTGAATAATGAAGAGTAACTGGAAACACCTCTAACCCATGCCACGTCCATGCGCCAGTTTGCGTTGAACGAGGTCGCCGATCTTTATTGGAAATACATTATGGGGCTTATTATTATTTCGTCATCATTTATTATTTCATCATCATTAACTCGGGGATATTCATTCTCATCGCATTACCATGGATGAAGAAATAATTGAAAACAGCTCTAATTTGACGGATCTACTGGATGTGGAGGAGCATGCTGAACGGGAGAAAGCTGAAACTGACAAAGTGGAGGTGTTGCAGCAGATTCGTCATCATCTCACGTCGCTCAGCACCACCGACGCGGCTTTCATGAAGGTCCTCGTCGGAACACTACAGGAGAAATGTCTATTCTTCGCGGAGAAGGCCGCTACCTACGACTTGACCAGCGACACCACCGTCACTCCCTCTTTGAGAGAGCTAGCCACCTGCTCGAGCGAGATGATGTTCACCGCCGATGTTTTCAGCGTGGTTTTCCGGCCGGGTAACACGGCGCCCACAGCTCTGAAGTTCTTTCTGCATCATTGCGGGTGTGGCAATATTCTTAAGGCTAGGCGCGAGTAGAGCTCTAGTTAAATAGTCGCGTGATCTGTGTCTGCGTGTCATAGTATAGTCTGCGCCTCATTTGAGGTCGTGGAGATTGGTCAGTAAGTACACACTTGATAAGTATTCTAGTCTGTCTATGCTCTAATACATTGCTGGAGCCGATCGTGACGGTGCTTCAGGAAGCGCAGCCGGGGAATATGATGAGCCCGCACTGGCGCGAGTTTCTGATGGACTTCCTGTATCGCGTGGGGAAGTCGCTTGTGGGTGGCAGCAAGATGTGTACTCACATACCTTTTGATACCTTATGGACCATCGTAGCCATCTACGTAGTGTTATCTTAATTATATATTATAAATATATAATTTACTTTTTCGGCACCACTCAGTGTGAGTTTGAAAGTTGTCGGTCATCTTCTCGGACCCTCACCCAATAAAAACACACAATCAACAGTTGTTGACCTGGTTTTGCAAGCCTATCAAGTGAAAACTGCGACGCTGGTCGGAAACCTGCCGTTCCGTTTGCAGCATGTGACGCCGGGATTTCAAGTTGAAGAACTCTTTGGCGATTCTGTTGGCGTGGTGGATATGGACAAGGCAGAAACTGTCGAGAAGCTTTGCGAGGAATTCGGGATTCCGGTATTTATTAAACAAGAGTAGCCCCGTTAGTGATTGATCTTCATATATCTAGTGCAAGTGGTCTACTTCTATTGAATTGTAGCGATTGCGTCGATGTTAAGTAGTCTGTTGATGTTTATGCCATTGAGATTGGTCATCGTCTCTATTTTCCTCTCCACTCACAGGACCCGTCATTCGTCGACCAGTTCTTGCAGTATCTTCCCAACAAGACTGGCGTTGTTGCGGAGGGAACGGATTGGAAGCGCTACGAACTTCTCAAGTGTTTTCTGACGCACCACAGCAAGGATCGCTTCGAAGCGCTCAATGCTCCTCCCCCGAAGGGCCTCTTCGAAAAGAACGGTGGCACCTCGGGCACCACCCCCGGCACCACCGATCAGGCCGCCGGAACGACAGAGACCAAGCCCGGCGGCGTCGGCAAGACCACCAACAAGCGCTCTGGCAAGAGCGGCAAGTCCACCAAGGCCAAAAAGGAGAAAAAGAAGAAGACCGAGGAGGACGATGCGGAGTCCGAATTAAGGCGAGGATAGGGATAGCTGATCTACTACATAATCTTTCACGCGTGTCCTTCTATCTTATTACTTCAAGGTATTGCAGGGCAGCTTGATTCAATTTAATCCAATGAAAAGACTTTTTACTTCCTCTCATATGGATTACTTGTATTATTTACCCCATACTGTGGCATCCTCTTACTATTGCTCTAATCGAAAGCGATGGTGGGGATGAAGAGAGTGGTGGCGAAGGCCCGGACCAAGACATCGATAGCGCGCCTCGTGTGCTTGATTTTTTCGTGAAGGATGCCGTGGTCACATGCAAATTTGAAAAGCGCCCAAGCAACTGGAAGGGAGTTGGTCCCGACGTTTTGAACAAGACGAAAGCGAAGATCACGCACGTACTAACCAACTTGTTAGTAGATTGTATGACGTGTGAGTAGATTGCGTGACTTCTTGTTATATGTTCCTCCTGTTTCTCAAAATTAAGGAAGTTGTAATGTGAACGAACAAGACATGTCCTGACTCCACAGTCTTCACATACTTTTTTATTGCAATACACATAACGAACTCTTACTCTACTCCAGGCCCGCACCAACACTGTCGACCTTGACTTTGCCTTCGGTGGAGTGGCCCTGAAGATGAAGAAGGTGGAGAAGACCCGCATCACGCTCGTCGATGCTGCGCCTGCTGTTGGTGGTGGTGAGCCCGACCCCAAGAAGCGCAAGATCAATGTCGATGTCCCCGCCGGTGGCGAACAGCCGACGGAGCAGACTGGTGGTGCCGGTGACTCCTTGACTCCGAAGAACAAGGGCTCGTCTGACGTCCCGCCCGTGCCGCCCATCATCACGTCCAACACCTCCGACAACGCATCCAACATCACGTCCAACACCACGGGCCCGAAGGCCGGCGGAAAGCCGGTTCCGCCCATCCTTCCGGCCGGGAACAATCCGAGCAGCAGCAGCACCAAGGATGAGGGGGCCGACCTCTCGGACTTGGGCAGAGGTGTTGACCCAGAGAAGATGAGTAAGCTCTGCCAGATGTTTGGTGGTGCAGTGGGTGGATTGTGAGAGTGCCATCAGTGAACTGGGGGGCAGGTAGATCGATTAACTCGTCAGTAGTAAGGGGGTCTGACAGTAATGGGTTTGCCGCTCGATAACATTGGAAATTTGTTGCTTTATTTACCGCCACAATTGTGACTACAGCATGAAGATAGCTCATAAGTTGGTCCTATCATAGGTCAGCAAGTAGTTATCTATAATCGAGTATGTTGCTCTCTCTTGTGTAATTCATTGCTCTCGTTGCGGGAGTGGCGACTGGTACTCATTTTGAGCCCCGTCGCCGCTCCTTCTCGTTTCAGTTGTGATATTGCGACTTTCTCCACTAGAAGTGCAAGCTCTAGGTCAGAGCGAATAAAGAACGAAGCTTACAATGATGACACTGGAATTGAGCACGATGGCATAGCGACTTATCTTTTACGTTGATTAATTTGAGATTAAGGGGGGCGCGATGGGTCTCTTTCATGGTCGTTCGGCTACGAACAGCTGTGAAAGACGACCCACCTACATCGTCAGCCTACCCAGCAACCTAACCACATAGATATGATCGGCATCCGTGATGAATCATTCATGTTGTAGGATATATCTAAGCACTCTCAGAATTAGAAGGCGTTATGAGCATGATTATTATAATACGTGGCTGCGGCCAACATCATACTGATTAATAATGAGGCACGTTGATATTATGAAGGTTTAGAGCTATCTACTATGTTGTTACTTTTCATCTTCGTTATTAATTGGATTCTATATGAAGTTGAAGTACTGGACTGCTTACTTTCCCTGCTGGCACCCATCTAGTTCTAGTGTGAACTCATAGTCATACCCTGTGCTCTTTCAAATTTCTTCCGCATATTTTTCGACGAAGTTGATGCTTGGCCCAGTCGTGTCTTGTAACGACGACTAAGGAAGCCTAGATGTGGTGATCATGAGGTATCAGCCACCTGGGTAGCTTTTACCATCTCCTCTCCACGTGAATGATAGAAGTAGAAACACTAACACAGCCCATTTATAGATGTACCCAGAAAGGAAGCTTCGACAATCTAAAAAATCTAAAAAATCTAAAAAAAACAGACAAAGCGCGTCATGGTGTGCCCCTGCTCCATTTGTCCACTTATTGAGATGCGTGACGAGTACCATTCAGCACTGTAGTCACTGAAGCTGCATCTTTTACTACGTGCTTGCTTCTTCTAGCTTTTGTTAGCAGATCGCTCGACCGACGTTTCGTCTTCGATAGTGAGCGTGAGCTATCCTGAACCATTGTCCGCCACCATTCATTCTTGAGATTGGATTTCCGGTTACCCCCGGCCCTTCACTACAAACCTTTGATGCTTTCGACTTCGAGCAGTCGTGCGATGTCTGCCGCTGCATGTGCAAAATATAAACTGTTCATTCTTCTTGTGCCCTCCAGAAAAGCCATGGGCTCCCATCTTAACCTTAAGAGAAAGTCACCACCCAAGCAGAATCCTATAATCTGACTTTGTTGCCACTGGTTACCTCTTCGAGAACGATGATGAAGATCGTGGCGTTCCGCTCCGTCATGCATTGAATTGAAACGAAAAGAAGCTCCTACTTTCTTGTCGTTCGAACTCGAAGCCCAATCTCGCCGACTCATCTGCGTCTTGAATGAAAACGCGTTGTGCAAAATTCCTCATTTACTTCTGTCTCTGTGCCTTCTGCTGTTCTGGCGTATCATCTGCTATGTATGAGGGACGAGGCGTGTGATGATCGTACTACGGCGCAATCAGAAAGTGAGCGGTTCGCCTGGAGTTTGTAACTTTCGCATATTCGTGCTTCGTAGTAAGATGGTGGACACCTCTGAAACGTCATCGCAGGCTTTTCCCGTTGTGCTGCGGTTTGATGAATTTTTGACCACCTCGCTGTCCCCTATTTAATATTTCCATACGTATATGCTGTCTAGCTAATAAGTTGCCTCTTCGTATGTTGCTTAGTAGTTTTCGCTCGACAGCGTCGTGGCAGGCTTGCTTGATTCTCGTCTACTGACTTAAAAGAAAGCTCCTCCTGAAGAATGGGCAACTTCGTTGTGCGTTTGGATGTTAAGGAGAAGGAGCGCGATCACCTACCGAATGTGGAGGCCAAGCAAACGCTGGCATCGGAAGTTTCCGATGCCTCAACGGGTGAAAATCGCAAAGCCGCTTGCGATGAGATGAAAGATGTTGGTGGCGTGGAAGCTACCACCACGACCACACCGGAGCCTGAAGAGCGCAAAGCCGTGAGCGTGCCGAATAAGGTGCGCGCTTTTTTTTCCATGATCTTCAATGGCGTCCTTTCGTGTGGATTTATTTCTTCGTCAGGTCATCTCTTACACATAACGCCTGCAGATCATTTTGTTCCTCGATCGTCTACCCGTCTATCACCCGTTGCTATGCCATGATGCGCTTCGTCCTCCTCGCCCTTTCTCATCTTCCGCTCGTCAGCAGGTGTCGCGGATGATGGCGAGTCTAGTGCAGTCCGAGCCTCGATCTCTGCGTCGACAGCTTCACCAGCTTGGGGTTGCGGTCCCTGATAGTGAAAAATCCAGAAGCAGACTGGCTGTCATGATATGTTAAGGTCGGCCCTTAGGGTCCTTCGTCTTCGTTCTAATCAGACACACTCATCATCAAACCCAATTCGTCGACCTGCCTTGTAGCGTGTAGTAGAAGTAGAATGAGTCTGGGCATGGTATGACGATTCGAGTAGGGTTTGATGATGGTGTGTCTGTTATTAACTCTAATATGGCGTGAGGCAGCATGGTGACGATCGGGACCTTGTCCGAGGAGCATGCGTCGAGGAATTGCAGAGGCTCACTTCGGAGATTGCGGGTGATGGGGCTGATCTGTTGGCCCTGGGGCAAGAAATTGGAGCTGTCGCTAGCTGGATAGTTCACCTCGCGTGAGATGGACTGTGGATGTTGGGGTGGAGGAGGTGTAACTGATGTGTTGCTCTGGGCAGACATCCTCTGACGTTGACTAAAAGCATTGATGAACTAGCATTGACATGCCCCTGTCTCTGTTGTTACAGATCAGATGATCGCGCAACCCATGGCCCCCAGATATGATGCCATCCGCCCATGACCCCCGGACTACATGACGGCAGTGCTCCTGTATGTAAATGCTTACTCGTGCTTAGAATTAACTACTCAAGTTCAACACAGCTGTTCTGTTATCTACCATGATGAAGAAGCAGATGAAGGAACGTGCCCACAAAAACGCCTTGGACACCAACCGGCAAAAGTCTTTGGATGGATGTTCTTTGGATGAGTGCAGTTACCCGCTACTCCTTCGTCTCCTCGCCTTGTCGTTTCCTTTCGTCACGCATAAGCGTAGACTGTCGCCTTCCTCTTTCTTTCCGCTTCTTGTAGCGCATTATTTATAACCATATAATCACGACCGCCGCCCCGCTCTGCTACTTCATCTGCGTCGACGCCCGCTGCTCCTCTTCTACTTTTCTCTGCTCTCCTCGCCCTCGCCTTCGGAGCGCTTGAGGCTAGTTGCTGTGGCGCCTCTGCGAGTGTCGGGCCCTCACTTCGCCCTCCGCTCCCGCCCCTGCTCTCTTCATCTGCTTGGCGGGGGTCAGCCACTGCGCAAAGCTGCTCTGCAAGTGTGCCCGCGCACTTGCAGAACTTTGCAAATCTTCGCATATCTTCAGAGGAATCCGGGGGAAAAAGTTGGGCTTTAAACCAAGGTGTTTGGTCTATGTAATCGCCCCATTTTAGTTGTTTTTTTTAGTTGTGTGTTCTTAATTGGTTCATTTATCCCTAGCTTCTTGGGGCATCTTATCATCGCTACAGGATGCAGGACTTTCTGCAGTGTCCCTGGGGACACTCCGATGTCTCTTGTTTCTCCGATGTTCTTGTTTGATCTTGACTCGAAACAGCTCACATCAATTATATATGTAGTGCTTTATCCTTGTCTATTACTGGCGCCGTGCCATGCCTTGGGCTTGATTGGATACTTGGAAATGCGATCGTATCCACCATGAGCGAATTGCTCCGGGGAGCCCTAAAGATATCAAGCGCAATCCCTTAACGGTCTCAAAGCTTCACACCTCTAAGAGTAAGCAACTTGGTCAAGGATAAGGAAGGGGACTTGCGTGCCTGTAACTGCCAGAAGTGCACCCGGTAGAGGTAGCACGCGCAGACCAAGAAGGCCAAGGAGATTACCCCAGCCGCAAACGTCTTCCGGTAAGGCCGCCAGGGACGTAGGGGCACGAGCTCGGCTTTCGTGGGCACTCCGCCCTGCCTGGCGGAGCGTCTGGGCGCTCCGCCCTGCCTGGCGCGTCGTCCCTCTGGCGGCCGAAGGCCGCCAACGACGAAGGGGCACGAACGCGGCGCCGAAGGGCGCTCCACCCTGCCTGGCGCAGCGTCTGGGCGCTCCACCCCGCCTGGCGCGTCGTCCCCCTGGCGGCCGCAGGCCGCTCGGCCGCCAGGGACGAAGGGGCGCGCCCCGCTCTTTCTCCAGCGCGACACCCCGCGCCCCCCGCCCCCCCCTGTACAAGGTTACATCGTTTGGCACATTTGGGGGGCGCACTCTTCGCTCGAGTTTCGTTATATCGGTGCACCCTCGCGCGAGCATTTAACTCCGTACAAGGGGGAGGCGGGGGCGCCGCGGGGCCGGGGGCAACGTTGTCACGCTATGCCCCCTCGTCCCTGGCGGCCGTAGGCCGCCAGAGGGACGACGCGCCCGGGCACGCTTCGCGCGATGATGGGCGCATGGTACGCGCGGGACAAGCCGGCGCGGACAGCCGGGCAAAGCAGCTCGCTGCCCCGTCGTCCCTGGCGGCCTACGGCCGCCAGAACAACTCCCGCGCGGGCTGCTGGACTAAGAGCTCTCTCAAGTCCGTCCCGTTTGCGGTCTGCTCGTCTACCGGGCCGTAGCACAAAGCCAAGCCTTCACGTCGGCCACAGGAGCGACAAAACTCGCGCAAATTAAGTTGCGGGCTGTATCTGCGAAGATCTTCCACCCTTTTACCCCAGTCACATGCTTGGCCACATGTGGGGACTCCGCTCTCCTGGTGTTGTCTGTTTTCCGCGTTTGCCCTCGAATCGAAAGACGCCATAGGGATTAGCGTGCCGATTGCGTTTGTGATTCGAGGGGCAACGCGTGAAGGGTAGACCTCGAAGGAGGAAACAGCGACGAAAAGAACGCAGCCCGCGAGGCTTTGCACACCCTGACGAGATGAAGAACACGCAACAGGGGACAAGTTGGCGCATGAGGTTGCCCGACCCACCGAGGCTCGATCACTCGCGAGCGCCTCCCGGCGGTGCTGGCGGTGATCTAGCTGAAGTCCTCTAAACGTGGCGGAATGCCGAGAAATACGGGGCGCCTGCGTTGCCCGGCAGTGGGTCCGGCAATAAATATTGGGCAGCGCGTTTCCGTTGCGGAGGCCCACAGGTAGAGCGCAAAGCAGCTGCGGCAGAACGGGGCAAAAGACACCGCCTCCCAGTCAATGCCCGCCAGTGGTTCCGACTCGATGCGAAAACGTCGCAAGTCTCCGGGAATGCCAAGGCGCTGGAAGTGTTGTTCTGGGCCGCTCGTCTCGGTTGCTGTTATCACACCGCGCGCGCGGATGTCCTTCGTCGGCGCATTGTGTTTCTTGGCATAATCATAGGGGAGCGCGAGTTCGCTGAAGGAGTCCGTCACGACTTGCGGGCCTGCAGCTGCCTCCCCGAGAGATATGAAGCACCCAGCCCAGACCAAAACAGCAACGGCGCTGCGACGAATGGAGCGGGCGGCAGTGTCGGGCTATCAATCTTCAACCCCGAGCCGGTTCTTCAGGACCACCAGGGGGGGGGTAGGGTCTCTCGCCAAGTGTTCCAGCGGACCAGCCAGCAGAGGCTCCCTGTGCCCTCCTCGCAGCGTGCCAGCCAAAGCGAGCGACCCGCCTCGTGCGAGGCACTTACACACTCCGCGGCTATCGAGAGCATCGCCCACTCCCAAGAGCTCAGAGACCCCCCAGCCCCATTCACACGCCCGGCCGCACGCGGTGAACACGTCGCCGAAAGCATTCACCTGACCCGCCGCCATGCCAAGTAGTGGCATAAATATTAGACGCACGAGGGGGGCACAACAGAAGAGGTAGAACATAAGAGGAGCCAGGCCCGAAGAACACAGACCGACCAGGCTGGAACAATCAGACAACGGCGACCCCTCTCGCATACCTCGCGAAATGGAAGAACTTGAAGCAGATGGAGGCGCGCGGCCTTTTATCGAAAAGCCGCCAAGGGGAGACCGATGGGGCCTCCCATTTGCTGCCAGTCTTTTGGAAGAATATGAGGAAGCGAAACCGACAAGGAGAGCCGGGAAGCCCTTGCCAGCTGGGCTCCTTGTCGTAGACGTTGCGAAGGTCTTTCCCTTTTACTTCTTTGTCTGTTTAGTATTTTCGAGCATTCGAATACTTTGAAAGAATTTGGAGAATATCTAGGAACTTTTTTCGAATGTTTTAAGGTAATTAGATAAGTGCGGGAATTATTTTCGCGTGAATATTTTGGAAGACAGTGGATGAAGTGTCTAGGAAGTTCACACCCTGCGGGCATCGAATTCCCAGAGAGGCGCGGGGCATGCTCATGGGGTTCCCCGATGAGTCCTCCCCGTGGGGCTATCTGAGCGAGCTGATGTCGGGGCGCTTCTCATTTAAAAAACAACTCGGGAACTTCTTTCAAGTGTTTTTTGTTAATGCCAACCCTCCAAAACATAGGAGCGAGAGTTCTTCTCCGGTCGGGCAGCACTGCGACTTCGCCAAAAAAACGCATGAGCGCGACAACTCAAGGCCCCCCATAACGTGGATGATGGTGTCGGTGCAGATCGCTGACGAATCTGGCATCTCCGCGGAAGAGGACCGCGGCCGAAGACGTTCCTTGTCAATGTTAGACACCATGCGCCAGGGTGGACCTGCCGACGACGATGCGCCAAGTGCTGTCCCCCGTCGAGCAAGCGAATCGTCTGGCGTCGCCCATGGACTCGGCCGCTGGTGCCATAGTATCGGCGCTCTCGACTTCTTCAGCGATGCAGTAGACGCGGGACGCTCGGTCCGCGATTACAATATCGCGCATGGCGTCAGCGGTGCCAGCGGTTTCTCGGAGGACTCCGCCCCCCGCGTTGTCGAGTGCTGCCTCTCGCTCATGAGTACAAGCGGCGCTGTCGTTACTCCGGGGCGCCTATTCTGCTTGTATTGCTTCCCAGCGTGGAAGAGTGCCCGCGGGTGTCAAGTCGGCACTGGTACCAGTGACCTTCATGTCTTGGGAATGAGGCTCGACGGGCCGCATCTTGGCACAGTTACCTCCGACGGGGTCTCGCTCCCAAAGCCAAATCCATCTAGTGCAGCCAGTGCCATCTCCTCGAAGATCGTCTCGCGACCGGTCCGGCGGCGTCCTTCCGTCAGGAGTGTTGAAGATGGCTCCATTCCTTTTGCGGGTGCTGTCGCGCTCGGAGTCGTCCGCGGAACTGTCCAGCGACCTGCCCCGCGCGCGTTGACGGTAGACCTGCCTTATCCTATTGGAGCCCTCGTCGCGTTATCGCTCGACCGCGAGGAGCCGAAACGCCTCACGATTTTGGTCGGGGTCGAAGGTGGCTGCCCGGTGCCAATGTTCAGAATTCCCCCAGACCTCTGCGTAGTCCTCTGGGTCCAAGCTAAAGCGGGCTGTCGTTATCCCGATCGGGTGAAGGTGTTCGTCAGAGAAGTCGGCTGCCTCGCCAGATGCACTGCCACGAAGGGAACGGCCACCAAAGAGACCAGCACTACCGCCGAGACAGACCCTGCGCCGTATGTCTATGAACCGCGACAGGCGCGGACTTTCCCGGTCTCGGATAGCTTCGCCCCTGGTCACCCGTCTCTTCGGGGTCTCGGAGTCAGCAGTAGCGGGCGCCGCTTCTACTTCTTCGACGACGAGGCCGACCCTGCAGCCGTTCTTCTGTCCGGAAATGATATAGAAATCTCTGGCGATGGTGTCAACGCTCAGAGGGTCTTCGACAAGTTGACGGGTGTAGGTGTTGTCTGTGAGAGCAAGTACAAACGCGACGAGAAGAAGCAGGTCGGCCCGGGCTCTGAGATTGTACATCTGGCAGAGTGCTACGCTGAAGGTGATGCCTTCCACAGCAAAACGGCAGTCCACAAAACAGGCCCGGTCTGGAAACTGCGCACCGCGCAGCACTTCGCGAAGCGCAGCGACGTCTTGTTGCTCAATGAGCTTGCCGCTGAGAATTCTCTCCTTGCCAGTACTGTTCGGGAGGTTCTTGGCCGGTTTATCGACGGAATTTGCGTGGCCTTTTTCCTGCCGTACTTCATGGATGGACAGGCACTGCCACGATTGAACGTCGCAGAATTCGGAACCAATCTCATCGACTTCACCAGGCCGCTGCCGCGTCGCAAAGTCCGCGCAATTCTGAATAGTGAAATTGGAAGGGTTCTCACTGAGTTGGTCTTCGCGCGATATGTCCACAACGGTGCTCGCTGCCCTCCGTTGCGACGCTATGCGGGATGGTGTTGCCAAGTGCCTCAGGAACGGCCTTCGCGCGCCGCGATCTGGACTTTACTCCGGGCCTGGGGTCGTGGGGTTCCAACGGCTAATCCAGATGCTAACTGATGTTGCTGCCCCTACCTCTCTCCTTCCAGAACTTCACGGATTGCTTCGCGATCCACGCGCCAAGGCGTTCGGCAGTTCAGTCGCCTCTCGATGCTTTCCCAGCTTGCCGACCTCGCGTGACTTCGGTATGTGGTGCGCTACCTTAGCCGGGAGCCCCGTTCTCGTCCCCGTTCGCGCATATCTTGGAGCCAGTGTCTGGCCTGGAATCTGGCAGCGGGTCGCTTATCCCCGACGGAACAATCTGCGACGTTGTCCGGAGGTCAGTGCGCCGCCCCTTAGAGAACTACTCCGGGCTGCCACCGCGGACGAAGCCCGCGGTCTTCTTTGTGCCACTGGCGCACTCTAAACTGGCGACTTCTGGATTGTGAAGGGGGGTGCGAACTGCTCTGCGAGTAAGTTTAATTATCTCCGTAAGTATGTCCGGGCATCTCTGGAAGTAATTTGATTTGTCGGCGTGTAACCGGTATAGCTACCCGCTATCCATTTTCCACAGCCCCTACCTTCGTGCATTCAATTTAATTACTCAGTCGACCATGACGGTTGCCGAGTTCCTAGACTGGACCAGAAACCTATACTCAGACACTTTTAGTCATAGTCTTGGCGTCTATATAGGTGGGCGGGGCACCTACTAGGCTTGGCGACGTTGCTCCACTTCGTCTCATATCTGCTTGCGTCAAACTTGAGCTTCTGAAGGTTTCTTTTCATATCGATGCGCGATTTGTTCCCTATCGTGTTTGTTCGTAGTACTTATGTGACCCTTGTGGTCAGTCTCTTTTCTGGGTGGTTCTGATAATCTTCAGGGGAATGCGAATCCCCATGCGCATGCCGGCGCCGCAATCTTCTGGGTCTTGAGTTCTCTTCGGATTGTCTGCCAGTCCTTTGCGTTATCTTTCACCTTGGGTCTTCGTCGTGCGTATATGGTGCCAGTGGTGTCTGTGTGAGCTCGTCTCCATTCAAGGCCTTAGACAGGTTCCCCTGTGTCATTCCTTCGCCTTTTCACCCTATTAATTTGCGTTCGTTTGACCATCTACACGCGTTCGGCCTTGTGTTCTCCCGCCGGGTATTTTGTACATTATTACTAGCAACTACCCTGCCACGTTGCGGGTGCTAGACTATACTTGGGATAAAGATAAAAGGCTGACACTCAACAAAGTGCCGGCTTCTAGTTCTTTCGCCCCCCCGGCCCAATCTCAGAGAAGTGGCCCCGAGTGGGTGCAGGCGATGATCGCCATCGCAGAGCGAGGATCTGTCTGCTCTGCTATGCGTCCTCCGTGCCCAACTCTTCCCGAATCTTTTAACGACATCGCCGCCCAGCAGATGCGCTGCCCCAGAGCAGTAACAACGGACGCCCAATCTGCGCAGGCCTATGGCCTCCGTATTGCCTGTCACGTTGCTCAGGTCGAAACGGTTTGGGCGGCTTGGTGTGATGCAAATAGCAACTCGGCCGCTGACCACTACCGCAGGGAGATAGACAAAGCTGCTAGCACCGTCAAGGCGCTCTTCTGGGACTATAGTGCACCTGTGCACAAGGGAGGCGGTTGGGGGACGTTCTTCCATCGCGTGCTAGTACGGGTGACAGGTGGCCGCGACGTACCTCGCGAAGAACACAAGACAGCGCGCACCCTGGCGCCTAGCCCGCTCTATGGTCAAAGCCGACGCTGGCACCCCTACCAAGAACCGGAGCCGAACAGCAGCAGCAGCGGTAAGGGAGTCAAGGAGGGCAGCGACAAGAGGAAGAGCAAGGGAGACAAGAACAACAGCAAAAACGGGAAAGGCGACCACAAGGGCAAGCCGGAAGCAAACAAAGGCGACAGGGGTAAGCCGGAAACGGACAAAGGCGACAGGGGCAAGCTAGGCGCAGGCAAGGGAGACAAAGGCAAAGGAAAGGACGGGAAACCGGTGGGCAAAGGAAAGGGACCACTACCACCACAGCCACCAGCACCAGCCGCGCAGCCACGAGCACAAGCAGCACAGCAGCAACAGCAAGAGGAGGAGGAAGGAGAACCAGCGGAAGAGGATAGCACTACTGAGGCAAATGGTCCGGGTTTTGGGGATATCTAGACTGAGGACTGCAATGGTAGCAGTTGCGCCGCGATGCACTGTCTTACTTGTTATCCATAGCGCCAGGGGCATTATCTGTTTTATTTATCTCCCGCAGTATTTATATGCATCTATTCACTTTTGTCTCTGTTCTTGCGTCCGTCTTTTTTTTGAAATAGCTCAGTTCTACCTGCACCATTCTCCCTGCATATTTATAATGCGGCCGCTCTCGTTCTCTATATCATCTGCTTTTGCCGTTGTGTGCGTCCTGCTTTATCTATGGCCGTTGTAGTAGTTATTTCGGGCTTTGGGCTGTGTTCGGAGTCGGAAGCCCGACAGGCATGGGGCACGTAGTGCAAAAATATGATGTAGGTCCTGCCTCGCTTCCTCGATCCTTGCGCAGTTCCAAAAGTTCCAGTCTGTCCGCTGTTTCTGCATGATGTTCCTAGTTGTTGAAGTCCTTAAAAGCTGCAACCTATCGCCTTCAAAGTCGTCCGGTGATGTGAATACCATGGCTCAAGTCTAGGGGCCCAAAAGTGTCCGGATGATAATCACGCCCCGGGCGCTCGCTATTGTTTCAAAGTGATAATCTGCACCGTTCCGGCTTCCGCTCGTGTTTTCATTCAAGTAATAAGCTGACGACCATGCCCCCGGCACTCTTTCTAAAAGTATTGGGATCCCCTTGCTTCTTCTTGTTCCTGGTGCTGTTTAAAATTGTGAAAAAGTGAATTGATGCACTTCGATGATTTTCTTGATCTTTATGGGGCTACTGTTATAAAGTATTGGGCAGTTTTTACTTGTATGGCCTTCATGCCTTCCCCCTCAAGACCAAAGCAACCCGACAGGGAAACCAGTGCGAACCTGAACGACTTCGGTCAAAACTGCACTAGCTTACCCGGGGCCTGCGCTAGTAACTTTTTACAATTACAAAACACCCGGCCCCGTTTTCTGTTCTCCTGCCCGCTGCTACGCTTGCGCCGGGCTAGCCTGTTTTCGGTTCTTGAGAGACAACACCGAGAGACGACGAAGCTACAGCATCGCGATGCCTTCCCTCAACCTTGGCACATTTTTGCCTGTTGTTACGGTTTTGCTTGTTGTTACGGTTTCCAGGCTCCCTCTTTCCAGGTAGGAGGAAACGGCAGGGCCTTCTGAGGTCTTGGACGGAAAGGTCGGCTTCTCTGGACTCTTGCTAGATTAATTCTGGATGGCGGCACCTAGTAGGACAGGTAATCGCAGTGGCGCAGAACGATTATGATAATGTTGCAGCAGGATTAAAATTCTTTACAGCCAGAAGCAACTTAGTCTGCGGTGTAGCGGCGACGCTGTAGGCAAGCCGGTTCTGAGGTATATTGGCAACTGTTGTGAGGGGAAACACAGCCTCCCAGATCTGAGATAATTGCATTATGAATCGTGCTGGTGCTTGTTCAAAACTTGTCTGTTTCCTGTGTGAAGGATGCAAGTCGTAGTTAGAACTGCTTCAGTACCTTGAGATCGTGCGCAAAAACGGGCTGACTTGTTTATAAAACACCATTTGAAATGCAAACAGAAAGTTCAAGACATGAAAAAGTGAAACAGGCAGTGCATGCATCTTCCTCCCCTCCCTCAAAGAAATGTAGCTTCTTTACCTCGTGAACAGGTACATCAACCAAGCAATCAACTGCGTGAAGGATACAAGCCGAAGATTACAAGTCGTAGTTAGAACTGCCTTAGTACTACAGCTTCCGCAGCAGCTGGACTACCATCGAGATTTCTTGGATTAAACAAGGAAAGGTTGACTGAATAAGAGATGCCGGGTGAGAAAAAATTGCGCGAATAAATTGTTATTCAGTTTGGTCACTTCTAAGTCGATGGGACAAGTTGAGTGATCATGTAGTTGCCAAGCAAGCAAATCGCGGTGAGTAGACTAGACGGGCCTTTAAACCCACTGAGGCACGTGCAGAAGGGGACGGTGGAGGGGAGGCGCTTCGCTGTTTCCTTGTAATGATTAGCGACGAACTTGTGGAATAGCGATCGAGGAATAATTTTCACGCACGCGACAGACTATTGTGCCCTATAAGTTTAGAACGCTGTTCCCTTCAAAATGATGTAGTGGTTGTCGTGGAATGCTTCAATTTGACGAAGAGACAGCGCGCGCCTGTCATAATTTGCTTTCATCTGTTCCAGTTGATGAAGGTGGAGAAAGTAGTGAGGTTGAAAAACTTCTTCTGCAGCAAAGTAGCACATCTTCCAAGACCAAGGAACAAAAGTACTATAATAATATCGTTATCGAAGGCGGGAAGGACCAAAATATCCTCGGATCAGAACTGCAGCAAAACATACCAAAACTAAAACAACAGGAAGATTCAATCAAAACAGCAAAGGAGCTAGAAGTACAAGTCTACCAAGAAGATCTGAATAGAAAAAAGTATCAAGATTTTCTTCGAGTACCTTCCACGTCGTGTATGGACTCGGACGATTACTCAGGTTTTGCCGCGTATGCTCGCGAAGGGGCTTGTATGCACGCCAAGATTAGTGGTGCAACAAGTACAAATACAAGTACAACTCCTAGTACAACTCATAGTACTAAGACCACTGCTTCTTGTACAACTAGTCTAGTGCTAGAAGTAGACCAGCAACAAGTTGGAGGAGTTGGAGTGTCTCCTCCTAGTGGACCTGACGGAGGTATGGCAGCAACAGGAGGCGCTGTTGCGCCACATGCAGGAGTGGCGGCACCTGGAGGGCCTGTTCCCTCTTACGGTTGCGGAGGTGCAGATAATGAAGGTGGAATTTCGATGAGTAGTACTACAGTAAAGACAACTATGACAACGACCATGACGACAACAACTAGCTGTTTTAGTGAACAACACAACACGGCACAGCACAGTAGTACTCCGAACTTTCCTCAGGGTTGTTCACAGAATTCCACTAGTGCCTCTGGAGTAGTGCCTTTCGGCTCCGCTGTCGGCGGTGGGGACGCGGGCTTCGTGAACGCACCACCTTACCACAGTGCCAGTGGTGGTGCAGGGAACCTCCACAGTGGGGGAAGCATAGCAGGTGGCAACTTGTACAACAGTGGTGGAGCTGGTGGTGGTCAGATGATGAATGATAGCAATAGTTTAATAGGACCTCCTTCAGGTACTAGTGTAGTTGCTAGTAGTGGTCCACATGGACGAGGTTTAGTTCCGGGAGGAGGAGGAGGAGGAGTTTCTACGCTGTTAGGCTTAGGAATGACCCCTAGTCCGGGAGGAGGAGGAGGAGTTTCTTCTCTGTTAGGCTAGTACGGGTCCACATGGGAGGAGGAGGAGGAGTTTCTACTCTGTATACATACACCCCACTCTCAGGGCATTGTGCAGCCACGTAAGTACTTGTGACTGAGATTTAAAGGCATTCTTTGATTGCAGTTTTTTATTTTGTATGAGTGGGAATACAGTAGTTTACTTGAGTTCAGGGTCAACTAATCGGTACTCTTGAGAGGAGGAGGAGGAGGAGTTTCTACTCTGTTAGGCTTAGGAACAAGCGGAGGTGCAGCAGCATCAGCAGGAGACGTCGGCGCAGGAGGATACGTTGTCGCAGGAGCAGTAATCAACAACAGCAGAGTGGAGCAGGAGGAGTTGTACCTCCTCCGGGAGCAATAGGGGTGGCGATGGGAGGAGGCCCGCCTCCAGGTGCGCCAGCAGCGCCGCTCCATAACAATGGCGCTCCGCCACCGCCGGGAACTGTGCCGCCAAACCACGTAAAGATGATGCATGCGCCAGGAGCCACTATTAGCATGCTAGGGCCCGCACAGCCACATCACTATGGCCATATTTATCCGGCACCTCCTGCTGTTGCGGGGGGTGGAAATCCTGATTCTAGTAGCGCTTTCTTCGGTTCACAACATCTTCAAGCACCAGCAACACGTAGTAATCACTTAGTAGCAATGCAGAAAGCACAAGCTCAACAGCATGCTAGTAGGGGTGGAGGAAGTGGTCCTCCAGGAGCACAGGCACAAAACATGTTACAGCATCAGCAGGCAGCAGACGGAGGAGCATCATCTATTAGCATGGCTAGTAGCGCTTCTTTACCAGGCAGTACTTCCAGAGGGACACACACTACTACACCTGGAGGAGGAGCTACTTTCTCTGCTCAACCACGTGGTCTCCACAGCTCAAACAATGCTGGAGTCCTCGCGCAGATTTCTTCCTTTGTAACTTCGTCTGTAGCTGAATCGTCTGGGACCGGAGGCTCTACTCTCTCTATAACATCTTCTGTTGCATCGTCTGCAGCTGGTGGGTTGGCTCTTCCAGGAGGAGGAGGAGGAAATACCATGCCGCATCCAAAAGCTCCTTTGAATAGAGGAGATTCTAGTTTGCAAACCAGCGCTTCAGCTTCTGCTATGATCCCAGAGTATCTGCAGAAAGTGCTACAGCGGTTGCCTAGTTTGAGTGAGGGGTCCACACAGGTGCACAATAACAGTGTGGAGGAGTGCTTTCGAGCTAATATCGGATCGCTGCACCCGAACAACGCCAAGCTAGTGTTAAGAGACCTAGGAGAATTGGCGACGGGATACAGTCACGCGTGGCAGACGCCCTTGCAGCAACAGGGATGTACGCCCACACAGCAGAGAGCGATCAAGGACTACCACACGGTAGTCGCGAGGATGCTGTCAGTGCAGAGGGAACTGTCTGAACGCATATTGAGACCGCAAACGGCCCAAGATGAGCGGGAGCATTATCAGCTGATATACTGCAACACGATTAGCGCGCAGTCGATGCTGCTAGGGGCGCTGCAGATAACGATGAACCAGTGAAATAATCGGAGTACGGGGGGGACGTCATCGGAAATACCGCTCACGATACACGCGTCGATCTGCGCCCGAGCCAATCAGTCCCGGTTGAAGAAGGACAACACTGTGGGACCCAATTCGACCACATCGTCGAACATGGGGACCGCGCCTTCACAAGGGATCCAATTCGACCACATCGTCGAACATGGGGACCGCGCCTTCACAAGGGACCCAATTCGACCACATCGTCGAACATGGAAATGCGCCTTCACAAGGGATCCAATTCGACCACATCGTCGAACGACCCTTTAATTCACTCCCAGAACACGCAGACGACTTGAGCTTGAAGGATCATGGGTATGAAGAAGGGAGGGGTGAATAATGATACGACGACTTGATACATTTAAGTCTGAAGGATCAACATAGGTACGCTGGAGCAGAGGAGGGGAGGTGAAAATAAAAGATGAAAACACACGACTTCTGATAAAACAATATGATAAACCTTCAAGTTGTCCTGGTGTAAGAAGAGCAATTCATCTTCTTGTTCACGCCTGCAAGTATTTTCATCGATTACGGGAGAAATTGCGCGAGAGCATGCAAGGCTTTCTGCTCATCGAGGAGTTTCGCCTACATGGAAATGCGAGTCAACGACCGTCTGTGCAGTTGACGACATCACTTACAACGCATTGTAAGATCCAAATAAGAGCAATCAAAACCCATCTCCATGCCGAACGTATATCTCCTCCTCTAGCGACCATTGCAGAAAGCATTAGTACTACAAATGGTGGCGCGAGTAGCACTAGTAGCGGTGCAGCTTCAAGTTCAACTGAGACGCAAGCAGCTGGTTCAGCATCTTCTACATCCCCTGGTAGCGCAACAGCGAATTTTAGTGGTACTTCAAGTTCTAGTCCAGGTGGCACTTCAAGTTTTACTGGAGAGAAACAACAACAAGCTTCGTCAGAACCAACATTGGCGCAAGTCGACCAAGTTGTCGCCTTGTGGTTGCAAGAGCTCAATGAGCATGCCCAGAGCGACGAGAAGATTTCGCTGATGGATTTCATCACGTTTGGGTACCAAAAGTGGAAGATCCGGCTTGAGCACATTTACCGTCAATGTAGGGAGATTCAAGGATCATCGAGTAGTTTCCATAACAGGAATAGAGGCTCGGTGGAACCAGGAGAGTCCGTGCCATCATTGGAGGAGCAAGAAGCGATCCGACAGTTTTTGGAAGGGATTCCACTCTTTGCGAGGATGACACAATCAATGTCCGAGGAGAATGGTGCACGCCAATCTTTTCTCAGTTGCATTCGAAAACAACATTTCCACCTGGAAGCGAGGTCTTCCGCCAATCGGAAAAAGGAAACGAATTTTACATTGTCCAATCCGGGGTAGCGCAAGTGAAGAGAACTTTCTGAAGGTGGGGGATAAAGTCCGGAATATCAAAGAAGTACATTTTGGCGGTCGCAAAGTTCCCGTTGGTTCTCTTGCTGTCGTGGACAAGTTCGGCCGGCAACTTGAGTATCCTTACACGATCCGTACAGTCGAGACTGGCCAACGAGGCAGAATTCTCGCTTCGGAGGTTGAGCTCCTCCAAGGTCCTCCGCAGGACGAATTCATCGCCACTCTCCGCAAACAAGAGTACTTTGGCGAACAAGTGATTGCGAAGAACTGCCTCCGAACAGCGACTTTGAGGGTGCCAGAGTCTTGTCCGGATGGCGGCTTGTCCGTGTTGGTGATTCACCGAGACAAGCTTAAACAGTTTGGGAGAGGAGAAAAATTGCAATTCGTAAGGAGGAAGGCGATGCGAGCAGCCTATCGAAAGAGCGGACAGAGTGATGGCGAAAGAGTCAACGTTGGCGAAGAGCGCGTGGAAAAAACCAAGGAGCAGATCGATTTAAGCAAGCGTGCGATTCGAGGCAATCCAAATCTGACGCAATTTGTCCAGATGAACGAAGACCAATTGGATAGCTTGGCAAGAAGCGCATTGTTGAAAAGGGGGAAGCCCGGAGAGCAAATTATCAAGGAGGGGGTAATGTTCGCGGACCGCTTCTACGTTATCCAGAGTGGCTCTTTTTGCTTGGAGAAAAATGAAAAAAGAGTAGGCTCCTCTGCAGGACCAGAATGCTCGTTTGGCGAACTAGCTCTGTTGTATCACGTTCCCACAGCGGCGTCAGTGTTTTGCGAAGAGACTGCTGGGCAGCGCGCTGACAGTTCATCCGCGGCTAGTGCAGCCACAGCCCCAACTGAGAGAGGCGGGGAAAACACTGCTGTTGCTGTTGCTTCTAGTTCAGAACAGACTGATTCTTCTTCGTCAGCAGTTGCAGGTCCAACGGCAGCCGCCAGTAATACGTCATCCACTAGCAACCAGAACCAAGATGTCCAGGCACTTGAAAGCACTGCCAGGGAGCAACAAGGCGGCGGACGTCTGTGGGTTATCTCGAGGTCTGCTTTCAAGCGCGAACTAGTCGGCGGCAATGACGAGAAGGTGAACGAGTATGTGGAATTCATTTCCAGCATCGAGACCTTCCATTGTCTCCTTTCATCTGAGAAACAGCGCATGGCGGAGTCTTTGGTGGAGTTGACTTTTGAGAACGGCAAGGCGATCACCCGAGAAGGCGACAAAGGCGAATTCTTCTACATACTGAAGCAAGGTTGTTTGCGAATTATTCAATCGGAACTGCCACCTGAGTCAGTGCAAGACGGACTGCCACTGCCAAGTGCGGTTCTTGAGAATGCAGCAAACGCGGCATCTAGTGGTAGTGCAGCTGCTGGCGGTGATGGTGCTGTTGCAGGTAACACTGATGGAGCTAGTGCAACGAATGGAGCAAGTACAGCACAAGCGGCTCAAACCACTGCCGCCTCTAGCACACCAGCATCGGCGGGTGAAGCTGCAGCACCTCCTGCTGCTAGTGCAACACCAGAGTAAGCGCCGAACAAGGGAGAGGAAAATGATGGAGAAAGAAGCGGCTTCGTGAAGTTCAATGCTGCTAAGCCTTACTGGTTCGGAGAACGTGCCATCATGCGAAATGAACCTAGGAGAGCAAGCGTGCTCGCCGCAGAAGACAACACTAAGATTTTGGCACTCTCAAAGGAAGCATTCGAGACTGTTCTTGGTCCTCTATTGGATTTAGTGTCTGACATCGGTTTCTTGAGCCGCAAGAAGATCAATAGGCAGTCGAAGAAGGAGGAAAATGTGGAGTTAGAAGAGCTTCAACGTGTAGGACTATTAGGCTGTGGCGGTTTCGGTGCGGTCACCTTGGAGCAGCATAAGAAGACGCACAAGACCTACGCCCTGAAGGCTTTGAGTAAGGGATATGTGGTGAAAATGAAGATGCAGAAAGGCGCTGCGAGAAAAGGAGATCCTTTCGATTTGCATTTCGCAGTTTATCATCCCATTGCATGCGACCTTCAAGACAACCGAGTATCTCTACTTCCTTCTCGAGCCTGCACTTGGTGGCGAGCTTTTTGCGGTCTACCACAAGTTCCGGTTTCATGGTAGCGTCACGAAGGCGAAATTCTACTCAGCGTCAGTGGTTTTCGCACTTGAGCACCTGCATGAGCGCAATGTGCTCTACCGGGATTTGAAGCCAGAGAATTTGCTTCTCGAGGCTCGCGGCTACTGCAAGTTGACCGACATGGGCTTAGTGAAGATCCTGACGAGCGGCAAGACGTATACCACTTGCGGCGCGCCAGACTACTTTGCGCCCGAAGTCGTACGACAGGCAGGGATGTCCAAAGCCGTAGATTGGTGGACATTGGGCATTTTGATCCACGAACTTTTAGCGGGACACGCGCCGTTTGAGGCTAGCGATCAGCCCGACACGTACCAGAACATCTGTCGAGGTGCTGAAGCCGTGAGCTTCTCCAGTTACGAAGACCGAGATCCAGACGCTGTCGATCTAGTGAAATCTCTACTAGCAGAGCACTCCAACGACCGATTACCAATGAAGGGCTTGCGTAGTCTGCGACTGCACAAGTGGTACGCGCGATTCGAGTGGGAAGCGTTGTACCAGTTCACGATGCGGCCACCACATCTCCCGAGGGTTCGATCCGTCACGGATCTGAGTAACTTCAGAGCGCAAGAGGCAGACCTGCCTCCTCCGATCAGCTACCAAGACTCTGTGCATGACGCATGGGATCAGGACTTCTAGAACTGTGGTGTGTGAGGTTGGTTCTCGGACGATAAGGCCGTTCGTGTGTGAGGTTCCCTCTTCTAGTTGTTTACCGTGATAAATCAAAACGTTAGCATAGTTAGCAATATCACCTAGCAAAACATCAAATCATTTCTTTTCGTCTTAACATATAGCATTTATTGGAACATTTACATTTTAGCATTTTAGTAGTTGTTAGCCTCCAAGGGGGCAGAAGAAGCGCGTTGAGGAAATTCTGGAAAATTTTGATGAAAGCGAAATGAAAAGACGACTAGCAGGCCTATGACGAACGTTGTCGTTGTATCATCTAAGAAATACTTATTACAATATTAACGTTGCAGTACCAGTACTAGGTGCTTGTGTCATCTGGGGGCCTGTCGTGTCATCTAAATTTTCTGGTAGCTTGTATCGTCGCATGTTTTGGCCTTGTGGTTTCTTCTCTCTACGCACGCTCTTACTGATAGTTAGAAATAACTCCGCATGAGTATGTTCGTTGTTTCTTTTCGCTTCGTAGTTTCTTATCACATAGACAACTCCTTCTACGTCAGAGGCATACTCTGACGAGAAGTGAGCAACTGCTAAAAGTAAAACACTAGAATATATTTATAAGGCTATTACGTACTGAGAAAGATGAAAGAAAAATGCAGCTGCAGGCAGCTTTTTGCGCCTAGTAAGCAGTTGAAGGTAGATCGCCTCTAGCAAAATATCATTGGGGTGAATAGATACCAAGGAAAGCGACCTTTTCCGAGGATGGTAGGCTCTCCTTCGTTTTTAGCACAAACAGAAACTGCATTTAGGTAGAAAGATCTTCTACGTCCTTGGTTATCTTATTAATTTCCATTCACATGATTCAAGGAGGCTAGTACCAACCATGTTCCAGTTACTTTCAATTCCAGTACCAACATCCACATATGAATCCCAGTTAGAATACGGCTTTCTTCTTAGTTCGTGAGTATTGCTATTGGCTCACTCATCTTGCCCGCGAGAATAAAAGTGACTCACTCTCGATCTAGTTCGTGTCCTGCTAGGCTAAAGTGTATAGAGTTATACTCGTGCCCCACCTCGTCTGCTTAAAATTTCTGCCTTTCACTTCTAGCTAGTTGTTAGCGTCGCGTCAGTCATTTCCCGTGCCGTCTTCTGCTTAAGTTCCTTGGCACTGACAACACTTTCCAAAAACGTAGCCCACTTGTTGCGAGCAAGAATGAATGAATGAAAGTTGAGGGAGCACGTCTCTGTATGCACGACTGATGGTGCAGGCTGTGAGCGCGTGCTTGTGCTGGTAAAAAAATGTGTGCTGTGCAGAAAATCAAACAGTCTTCTTGTGCTCATTAGAAGGATGATGGCATGCCACTGTGAACAAGCATTAAGCCGGCACTTTTACCTACAAGCGATCAAAGGGGAGAAGCACCGTGTTGAACCCTCAGTGTTACGATTGGTTCTGTAGTAGAGCCTGGCTGCGAAGGTGTCTTGAAGGGTTTTTTGTTTTGACGAATGTTGCACCCGGTCAGGGTCTTTTCGACCGGAAAATCTTGCAGTGGCAGACGCCTCACTGGTTTATCGAGATGATGGCAGAAGATAATATCGGGAAGTCGAAAAGGAACTTTAATTCGACTTTTCTCGCTGCTTTTGAAGGACTTGAACAAAAAGAAGCGCATGCTTTTGGGGAGAACGTTCGAAGGCCAAAGGGGACGCCGATTGCCCAAGATGTTCAGAGATAGGAGTAGGAAGACTGGGGACACAACGTCAACACATTCCCGTTAAGAGGATATTGATAGTGTTTGAGGGCTTCCTGTTTCGGATCTCTCACAGCCTCTTCGTGCGAGAGACTCTATGTTAAGCTCGGCGATCATCCACAACTAGTAGTGCATGAGGAGTAGCGATTAAACAGAGTAAATTGCGCAGCATCGTTCTTCTGAGCGAAAATGGGCTGATTTGTGCAAAATTGAGGCCCAAATTCCGTCTGCTCTGGCGTAACAATACGTCTTGCCAGACTTTACGTAGAAGTGCGTACTGTTGCTAACAGCTACCCGATTCCAAGGGAGTTAGGAAAGCGGCTATGAGAGGGAAAGTTTCTCCGAAAGAAGATATGGGGGATGAAGAAGAAGGGTCTGAGAGGCGATGGTACTCGGATAAATGGCGATGTCGAAGGAGAAAGTTTGAGGAGTGAGAGAAAGTTGGTGAGACAAGAGGAACGGTTTGCCACTTGTACGATGAAAAACCCGCTATCAGTGTAATTTAACGACACCCTCAGTCCGAAGAGAGCAACAAGTCTAAAAAAGCCGTCTTCCTTCGGAGGACCTTCCCCTCTCATAGCCGCGTTCCTCCCTTGGAATCGGGTAGCTCTTAGCAAGGGTACTAAAGCGGCTATGAGAGGGAAAGGTCCTCCGAAAGAAGACGGCTATCTCCACGACAAACCTCGAGGTGCAGATGCGCGTCTTAAGTAACAGCCCATTTCGGGGATACCAGGAGGAGCGGGCCACCTGGGCGCTACGGTGCATGTTTTCGTGGGTTAGGTGGTGACGCAACTATGCGGAAAACTCGGTTATGTACAAAGCTGTGTGGAAGACACCGCGGATTTCTCGGACCGTCCACGGCTCTCTCCATACTCCGAAAAATCCACAGTGTCTTCCTCACAGTGATATGGGGATGAACTCCATACCACCTTTCTCTCCACCTTTCTCTCACTCCTCAAACTTTTTCCTTCGACATCGCCATTTATCCAAGTGCCATCGCCTCTCAGACCCTTCTTCATCCCCCATATCACTGTGGATTTTTCGGAGTATGGAGAGAGCCGTGGACGGATTTGGGAAGGTGCGGAACAACCCGGCAGCATCACCATGCCTTTATTCACAGCACGTAGCACATGCGTGATTTGGTGAGATGGTGGAAATTTAGAAAGATGCGTCTTTAGGTGCCTTAGGCTTTCTGACATTTACAGTTAACAGTGCCGCAGTCGAGACTGACTTCGGCTCTTGTCATGGTTCATGGAATGACGCTTGGCGAGAAATTATGGAGGAACTGTTGGCATTGTTGCTGGGCGTGATTGATACGCATGGCGCTGAAAATCCCTTTCCCATGGTGGGAGAAGTAGACGGCTTTTTACAACAAGTTTTCTGACATATGCGATGGACCTGAGCTGTGACTGACGCGGTGTGCCACGCCGAGCCCGTGTGGGATGCTAGAAGGAAGCGCGGATGATTGGGAGTGCGGTGCATTTTATGGCTTTTCAAGGCTTCTTATGATGGACTTGTTGGTATTCTCTCTGTCGTCTAAAGAGCCGCGTAAGTTTTCTTATGGAAATTTCTCTGTTTTACCGACACACACGAAGATCTGAAGAAGAAACGCTGCCGGAGATCATTATTTAGATCTCCTATCTCGAAGTCGCGGTCAGAGAAGGGAGAAATTTTAGTATTAGAATTTCCATGATGAGAGTATACCGCTCTTCGCGAGCTGTCATTTGGCAGTTTCCTGAGCGCAAGAAATCAAAAGTAACTTTTCTGCCTGAAGAGCGTTCTCAAAAGATATTTGATTATACCCGTAGGTGAGGCATGTGAATGTTCAACCAATTCTTTGGTGAGGTTTGAAACGATCTACTTGTCCAGCCAGTGAGGGAAAATGGAAAAAACTTGGAGAAATGTCTAGGTTGCCTGTCTTGATTTTTCAATCATTTTAACAATGTCTAGTGTTGAAGGATCCAAAACCATGATGACAGCATACCACTATCTCACTACAGGATCTTAGATTCTGGTTGTGTGCGATAAAAACAATGTAACTTTTCTGCCTGACAACGAAATTTGACGGTGACCTGATATCTAGTCTTTGAAAATTATACTGATCTGTGGATAGGCTTCCTCTTGAACAAGGTATTGGCTCGATGCTTTGTCTGTGTGACCGTGTATCATCTCAAGATCTAAATTTACCAAATTTCGCCAAATCTAAAGTCCACTGAAAAGAAGGTCACACGCGGAAAGACCACAATCTAAATTCAATTGCACCGTGGATCCAGCGATCGTTGAAAATAGGCATGTCAAGAATTTCCAGTATGTCTCTGATCTCTCTCTTGCGCAGAGTGTCCCTTAGAAAGAACTCCAGCTCCATCTACGAAGATCTTCTGCAAAAAAAGACGCAAACTCTTGCAAATGACCACACGACACAACACAGCCAAGATCATCAACTCTTTCACGACTTTAGAGCTTTACGACTTTAGAAAGAAGCAAACTGTTCACGACTTTTACCCAATGATCTTCCGTAAAACAACAGGGAAATTTAGACACAAACCTTGCAAAGGGTTTAGGTTCTTGTGAGGAGTAGATCCCCTAGTACCAGACACCACAAACAGTAGTCAAAATGGGTCGTCGTCCGAATAAGTGCTACCGGTACTGCAAGAACAAGCCGTACCCGAAGTCGCGCTTTTGCCGAGGTGTGCCGGACCCGAAGATCCGTATCTTCGATACCGGTTCCAAGAAGGTCGATGCCCATGTCTACCCTTGCGCTGTGCACATGGTATCAGTTTTTATTTGTATTTTTTTCGCAGACCTTCTTACAAGTTGATGCTTATCTAGTCCTTTATTAAATGAAGTCCAATGTCCTTACAAATCTACACCATAGAGATACTGATTTTTACTCATCTTATTACTTTTCTCATAGAAATACTGATTTTTACTCTCACCATAGAAATACTCATCTTATTACTTTTGTCGCAACTGGTTGATGCTTATCTAGTCCCTTACCGAATGAAGTCCAATGTCCTTACAAATCTACACCATAGAGATACTGATTTTTACTCATCTTATTACTTTTACCATAGAAATACTGATTTTTTCTCTCACCATAGAAATACTCATCTTATTACTTTTGTCGCAACTGGTTGATGCTTATCTAGTCCCTTATTGAATTGTAAGACGGATGTTCCAAGAAGGTCGATGCCCATGCCTACCCTATCAGTTTTTATTTTCATTTTTTATCGCAAAGTTCAGTGCTGCCAAGCGTGTGTTTGAAGGATGACAACCTTATTCGGACTAGAGTTTTCGAGCTCTAGGGCTGTGATATCAGAACAATGAGTCTGACCTCACTCGGAAGAGCACCATTCCATCGACTCGATCTTAGCATGTCTAGATAGGACGTGATAGTCTAGGACTAGGCCGTTGTGCACTAGAAGACTTTTGTGCTGTACGCTAGTTTTAGATGTTAGTCCGTTGTAGATGTTACTCCAGGAGACGCCGCGGTAGGTAGCGGCTAAAGCATAGTGCTCTCTCCAGGGATGACACCCTTATCCAGGCTAGAGTTTTCGAGCTCTAGGGCTTTGATGTCACACCAATAAGACTTTCATGACTCTGACTCAAGATGCACTTTCTTGCTATCAGTGATCACAAAGTTTCTTTTCGGTTCGATTGTTGAGCAATATAGTGTGTAACTTCAGATAGTGCGTAAATCCGGAAGATGTTTCTGGAATTCTTTCTCGTAACTTGAAGTTAAAAGCATGTTCTCACCTCTAGGTCTCTGACGAGAAGCAGCAATTGAGTATGGAAGCTTTGGAGGCTGCTCGTGTCGCAGTGAACAAGTACATGGTGGTGAACTGCGGTAAGGACACCTTTCACATCCGTGTCCGCCCTCATCCGTTCCACGTGCTTCGTGTGAACAAGATGCTTTCGTGTGCCGGTGCGGATCGTCTGCAGACCGGTATTTTTAGACTTTTTGTTCTATTCCGACTGAGGGTGTCGTTAAAGTGAATTGATAGCGGGTTTTTCATCCTACAAGTTGTAAACCGTTCATCTTGTCTCACCAACTTTCTCTCACTCCTCAAACTTTCTCCTTCTCCATCATCGCCTTATCATGGAAGTAGCCTCTCCCCTCTCATAATCTTCTCTTTCACACGTCCCCCCTCTTTCACATCCTCAGGTATGCGTGGCGCGTTCGGTAAGACGTACGGCAAGGCTGCTCGCGTGGATATTGGGCAGATTTTGATTTCGGTGCGCTGCAAGGACGACAAGTGCCACCACGCCATCGAGGGTCTGCGTCGTGCCAAGTTCAAATTCCCGGGTCGCCAGAAGATCCACGTGTCCCACAAGTTCGGCTTCACCAAGTTCCTCCGCGAGGACTACGCCAAGTTCCGCGCGCAGGGCCGCCTGATCCCGAACGGCGTTGACGTCAAGTGGTTGTCCTCCCGTGGACCTCTCTCCCGATTCATCAACAAGGCCTAAGAGGATCATCTCTTCTTAGATGAGAACTCTTTCTTGGAGTAGTAGTGATCATCTCTTCTTGTGTCAGAGTGTAGCGGTACCTTCTTTTGGAGAAAAGCAACGAGGGGGGTGAACTACTACTAGTAGTAGTAGCTTCTTCTCTTCAAACTTGTTGTTCGGGTGCTGAACGAATGCGCTGGGGAGCAGAGCTTCTGCTCTTCAAAGTCCTTGGAGAGAATCTTCGGAGAAAGCAGGGATGAGACTTTTCTGTCATGTGTACTACTGACGGTTTAGTCCTGCTCACATTCAATTATGAGATTTCCAGGACATGCTTTGTGGAGGTTTCTCTCTGGATGGGGTACGGACAAGCGTTGAACAGGACATGTAGCAGAATGTATGGGGATCTACAAAAAAGCGAGGACACGCCTTTTCGTGGCCGTGTGCGCAATATGCAGGGTGTTGGATATGTTTTTTCTTGTATCGTGTTCATTCTCCTTGCATAACTAAGAGAACATCAGTCAGCAGGTTTCTGTCGTATGCGCGATTCCGAGAGAGTGCTTGGAATCTGTGTGTGAAATTGAATGTCAAGCATTCCCGATCCTCTTGGTGAGAGAAGGCTGCATTTCTGTCGCACAGCATTCCAAAGCAAATGAGCAATGAAAATATGCACCATTGCCCACCTCCCAACATTGATTTAATCCTATACACCTTTCCGACTATGTATCAAGGAGTTGATCGCCCACCCTCATTTAATCCTATACACCTGTCCGACGATGTCTCGAGCATCTTGACCATACTCTTCTATCGCTCATGATATATGGTTTGCTTTCTCTTTTCCGTTCACATGGAAACTTTCAACCTGAATGCCTTTCCTCTAATTCCTTTCGGCTTAGGCTGTCAGTTTATGCCACCGGAAGTCCCCAGAGGAAGTAGAAGAAATAGCATGCCGCAACTTACCCTCCCTCTACTATAGGATGCGGTACCTTTAAGCAAGCTTGCAATTGAAATTTCGAGCTCGATCGTTGGACCTGTAATGGGTATTGTAAGGACGCAGGCTTGGGATAAGTTAGATCCATCTTCTATGTGCTAGTTGTATAAAGGTATTTGAGTCGTGATTTCCATAGAGGTTCACTTCCATCTATGTACTATGTCGCATGATGAGTCTTACCCCCAAAAAAGAGAATAAGTCGAATCCGAAGATTAGGTGACGACTTCCAATGGTACTAAGCATTCTGACGCGACAGTTGTTGAAGCCGATCGTTGTTACTTAGCACTCTATCGAGCTGACCGTTACTAACAAGCATCATTTCTGTCGCCGGCAAGTCAGATCCAAGCCTGCCGTAGATCCTCGCTCCATTATTTCCAAGATCACCAGTCACATCAACAATCGTATAGGATCCTCTAAAGTGTGCAAATCAATTGATGGTCCTAGATCACCCAATAAGGATCCTGAATTTCATGAAGGTTGCCTGTAATGATGACATCCTAAGTTCAGTTCTGCTTCTGATGAGCAGTGATGAACCTTAAACCATTTCATCTCTCATCGCCCTGACAAGAGGCAACTGTATCACACCAATTAAGTTTCCTACACAAGGGTCCCGACTCGGCTCCACGTGTCTAGGTTGTTGTAAAAGACTAAGTACTATCGCCTCAAGAAGCTTTAATAAGTCCACTTATCACCACTGTCTGTTTTGCGCGTCTAGTTGCACCCTCATTTCTTTGGTTTTTTATACCTGAGGGTGTTGGTATGGCGTCGCTAGACTAGAATTGACACACCTTGCGACCCAAAGGAGGCTTTGTTCTATGTCTCACATTTGGTACTACTGTGTTGAACACTAGGACACTTCATAGATTTTTGTTAGAATGAAAGGAGTTTTAGTTCGGGCTTCTCTCATGATGATACACTTCCAACACCCTTTTTCCGATGCTCATTGCGGTGGGGTTTCCAACAATCAACTTTAATATACCCTGATCGATTTAGTAAAGCCAGCGGACTCTCGTTTAATATACCCTGATCGATTTAGTAAAGCCAGCGGACTCTCGTTTGTACTTCTTCGCGTCTATTGTAAGGAAGATGTACACGTACAGCACTAAGCCGTTTCTGTATCACCATGAAGCCTTGTTTTACCCATTATCACGAAAAGAATGTACAGTCACTCTAGCCGTGCGTTTGCAAAATACACTCTGTGCCTCGATCGTTTTTTTCGCGAGGAAACAATTTCCACTTTTGCTAGATGGATATTTCACTGAACCAATCACAGCTTCGCGCAGCTTCGTGAAGTTTCGAAGGGTCTGGTGAGGACACACAGTGATGCCAACTGGGATTCCTGTTTCTGTTTATATGAGTTTCGAATGCTAAACCTCTAATAATGCCCTCCCACCAAGCTTTGTGTAGATGGGTAAGAGTACTAACCAGTGTTACGTTCCGTGTCGTCTAAACCTAGTCCTAACCTTCGACTCTACTACGATCTTGTACTCTAGTGGACGTTTCTCTGCTACTTCTGGAGTACATTCCACTATCTCTTATATCATTACACTAAGTAGTAGATATTTTCGCGCCAGTTGTTATGATGGAAGTTACCACAATAAATAGAATAATGTCTACCACATAGTGCCCGATCAGTATGCGAGTTACCTGAGTTCTAGTCCCCTCTTGTGGGAGGGCTGTCGGGGTCTTTTTCTGGTCTTGGAATATTACGATAGTAGGACCCCTCGACCGCGGGTTTCTGTGAGACGGACCTCTAGAGCTCTCCCTACACTGCACATCGAGACTCGACACTCCCTGGGACAGCCTTATTCGATAGGCTTAAGATCCCTCCTTTCGTTGATTTACACTCATCGTGTCATCAATTTGTAGTATTTGATACTAGCAACATAGCATCCAGAATCTTTCACCTAGTGCTACTGTATACTACGGTTACTTCCTTGACTTTATTCGGTAGTCGACGGAGTGACCTATGTCTTTGACTGCCTACCTGATTAGTTTCTGGGCAATCCTTTGTACGATGACTACTCTGTTTGTCTTTCGCCTCTAACTGAGAAGTTTCTCGTGCGGAGTACATAACCTCTAAGAAGTTCTGATGCCTCTCTTAGCTGTGATCGACCTGCTGTGTCTCGCGTCTGCTGTGGCAGACCACTTATAGCTCATGAAAATCTGCAACATCCTGGCTGTAGGAAGCGATGAAGGGGAATGGTTTATAGAATGCTGGCGCGGTTGAGGATAAACTCTAGCTCCTTCTGGAGTCCACATGCGTATCCACGATGACAAAAACTTTCGCCTCTAACTGAGTGGGCGTTCAAGCTCATCTCCAATGAGGATCGAAACAACCTCTAAGAAGTACTGACAAAGCTTGGCCTTTCTTGCGCGTTGCGGTCTCTCGCCCATCTGGCCCCGTGTTGACTGTCAATCTGGGCACCTGCCTACACGCGCACGTCCATACTGCTTCTTGCTGCGTTTCCTTTATATTCCTTTTCTTCATGCCTTTTCTTCATGCCTCGTAACTCGCGGATCCGCTTGACGCCTAACGCTTTCCCTCACGATGACATCGCTACTTCACAAACTTTAATATACGCTCTGACGTTTTGTGAGGAACCAAATACTGGCACCAGTCTGAACTGTTTACTGCGTGTCCCATTCACCTTATAGCTCCGTTGAGTCTAGTTTAACTAGGTCCTCAATAGCTGCGTAAATGCATTTTCTCACTGGGGCTACTGTACTAGTAGCTAGTGGGGTCTCGACGGCTCCGGAATGGTTAGTTGTAGCTAGTAGCAACTACTAGAATCTTGTTGGCTTTGTAGTCTAACTAGTACCTAGTAGTAACCACTAGTGAGAACTAGTGCCTTGCTCTCGTCACAACGACGTGCGTCACACCTATCATGATGATCAACGTTTTTATCTGTCAATCCTCTGATTGTAAGGGATGACAAACCAAAACATTAAAGACTACGACGGTCTGACATTGATTAGAGGCTAAAACCCATATAAACAGTTTCACATATCTCCACACGATGACAAAGCTTTCGGACTAGAGTTTTTGAGCTCGGTCTATGATCTTATAACGGTAATTTGCGCCTGAAGGAGATTGAACACGAATAGGATGTTGACTAAGCATTGGGCGTTGATTGAGATTGATTAAACAATCTAGATGATATTGCGTACAAATAGGATGTTCATTGATCTAGATCATGACTATGTTGTATCAGACTTTTCTGTCGATGAGGACTGTCGTGTCAGTCTAGTAGACGCACAGGTGTAAGATAAAAAAGTTTGTTATGTATCAATTTTGTTATACAAGCGATCCTGTAGTGTTTAGTCGTAGGGGCGAAGCGGGATGACAAACTTTTCGGACTAGAGTTTTTGAGCTTTGTGTCCATGATGTTTTACAGGTAATTTGCGTCTGATTTTGCCCTAGATGTTATAGCTCTAGATGTTATATAGCTTCGCTTTACTTGATTTCTTCGCAAGAACGAGTCATCTCTATTGTTTTGTCCATGGAAGAGTGGTTCATCTAGAAATTTCGCTATCTTTCCACGGATAGGGACGAGAGGTTTCGATATATCCGATTTCTCCATCAAAGTCCGTGGTACAGCATCACGCTCTTAATCTCCTTTTCTAAGTGTCCAAAGCTGGCTGTTGTTTTTCGACAAAGGGGACGAGTGGACACTCTGACCAACTATAATACTGTGAAGGGCGTCCTTTGCTTGCCACCCTCTGCTGGTTTGCTACCTTTTGGCCAAATTCCCTATTTCTTGCCGCTATCTGACAGCTAGATTTTTTTGCCTTTTTTGACCGTAGAAGTGCCTTTTTTGACCGTCAGGCACATCTGACCCGATCATCTGCGTCTATTTTCACGCGATCCNATTTTCACGAGCGGGGCTTCTTCGGAAGAAGTTTGTGGGATCAAAGCGCTCCGCCGAAGAGAAATACGCAGCATCTCCAACTCCCATGATGAGTCAAATAAAAAAGAGAATAAGTCGAAACTTACTGGAAAGTTTTCCAGGTTGACGACTCCGCTTAAGCATCCCCATCTGATTGGCAGCAGTATGTATCCTCACAGGGGTGAGTAGTTGTGTATGACTTGGGCGCGATGAACACAGCTTGTGCCAGGGACGTGGACAGCTAGGGGTAGGGTCACCTGGAGGGGGAGGCCATGGAGTGGTCTCATATTTGTGCGTGGATGTACGTATTCCGAACCTCCTATGTCTGTTGTTCGTGTCCGTTGGATTGTATAATAGATGGCATTCAATTTGAGGCAGCTTCGATTGTGACGCGGTTCATCAAGAGTGAAACAATGAATGCAATATCATGTCGTTGAGGACTTCCAATGCAGCTCTTTCCTTTGTATACTTGCAACTCCGGAGAGTCTGGGTCTTCGAGTGGGCTGATAGCTTACTAGAAATCTTTGCTCGATCGTTGAAATCGATCGTTGAATCTCACGTAGTGCGGATTTCGGAGATCAATTCGTGTGTTCTTTTGACTGTCGTTAGCCCGTTCGGGTAGTTTGGACATCGATGTGTGGAATGAAGTTGATACTGATGACTTATATTTGAACGACAGTAGAGAGATACTGATATTAGCGAGAGATAGTGAATGTTTAGACGCGAAGAAAGTGAATGTTACTAGAGAAAAAGGAT